ATCAGTTACCACTGGGGTGTTGCAGTCACTTCCTAGCCTGTTTCCTGCCACCAGCCTCATCCCACTCTAGACCATTGTCCTCACAGCGCCACAGCTGACATGCAAAAAAAGCTTACTCTCCCTCTTAAAACTGTTAATTAGTGCACTACTGTCCCCAGAAAGCAAAAAGAAAAAAATTTCCAAGAAAATTAGAAGAGTGGTGATGAGGGGAAAAATCATTAGTCCTGAATCAGTTCTTACAGTGTGTCAGGCCTTGTTCTATGGCCATATTTCTGTAAACTGTGTCATTTAAACTGTGAAACAACCAAATGAAGTAGCATCATCATCACCATCACCATCATCATCATCATCCTATTTTAAAGTAAGAAGCACAAATAAGTGCCTTGTTCAAGAGCACGTAGATAATTTGAGAAACTAGGCATATATATATATATATGTCAGTTTGCACCAGAGGTTTATTTTGCTCATGGCTCTGGGGATCCAAGGCTGAGGGTCAGTATCTGGTGATTATCTTAATGGCTGAGTCCCAATCTGACAAATGGCATCACATCACAAGAAACATAGAGCACAGATATGTGTGTATCTATATACTCCATTGTCTCCTCATAACCACCAGTATTCAATTGTGGGGACTCTACCTTAACGACTATCTAGTCCTAATTGTTCCCAGAGGCCCCACCTCTAAACCCCACAGTCAGATAAAGTTTCCAGTCTCTTAATACTTCCCAACAGGGATTGAGTTTCAATACATGAACCCTTGAGGGACACACTCAAAACCATATCTAAACCACAGTAATATGGAAAGGTAAAAGGATTAAGATAGCCAAAACTGCTTTGCAAAGAACAAAGTCAGAGGCCATCACTACCTGATTTCTAAACTTAATAAGGCTAGAGTAATTAAGACACAGTGGTAGGCCGGCGCCGCGGCTCACTAGGCTAATCCTCTGCCTTGCGGCGCCGGCACACCGGGTTCTAGTCCCAGTTGGGACGCCGGATTCTGTCCCGGTTGCCCCTCTTCCAGGCCAGCTCTCTGCTGTGGCCCGGGAGTGCAGTGGAGGATGGCCCAAGTGCTTGGGCCCTGCACCCCATGGGAGACCAGGAGAAGCACCTGGCTCCTGCCATCGGATCAGCGTGGTGCGCCGGCCGCAGTGCACCGGCCGCAGCAGCCATTGGAGGGTGAACCAACGGCAAAGGAAGACCTTTCTCTCTGTCTCTCTCACTGTCCACTCTGCCTGTCAAAAAAAAAAAAAAGATTAAAAAAAAAGACACAGTGGTATTGGTACAAAGATAGACAAATATATCAATGGAACAGAACTGAGAGGTCAAGAATAGAGCTTCTCATATACAGTCAATAGATTATTTACAAAAGTACAAAGGCAATTCAATAGAGAAAGGATTATCTTTGTCACAAATGTTGCTGGAAGACTCAGACATCCATATGCAACAAATTAACTTTGATTCATACTTCACATCTTAAATCAAAATGAACTCAAGGGGGGCAGTGTCAGGTGCAGCAGCTAAGATACCACTTGAGACATCCACTCCCATATTGGAGTGCCTGGGTTTGAATCCTGGCTCTGCTCCCTATTCCACCTGCCTATTAGTGTGCACCTGAAAGGCAACAGGTGATGGCCCAAGCACTTAGGTCCCTGCCACACACAGCTTCAGCCTGGCCCAGGTCTGGCTGTTGTGGGTATTTCTAGAGTAAACCAGAAGATCAAAGATCTTTAATTTTTCTCTCTTTCCCACTCTCAAATAAAAAAATACCTCAAAATGAACAATAATCCTAAATGTAAAGGTTAAAACTATAAAACTCCTAAAAGAAAACATGGGAAAATCTCTTTGTAACCTTGGGTTAGGCAAAGATTTCTTAGATCTGATACCAAAAACACAACCCAGAAATAAAAAGTGATAAAATGGACTTCATCAAAATTAAGAAATTCTGCTCTTCAAAAGATGCTATTAAGAACATGAAAAGATAAGCTATGGATTGGGAAAAAATATTTATAAAGCATGTATCTCTGAAAGGAGTCATACCCAGTTCATTTAGGAAGGCTCAGATCTCAATAATAAGCAAACAAGCCATTAAAAAATAGGCAAAATACTTGAATGGACATGTCACCAAACATAGGAGGGTATTTCAAAAAGTTCATGGAAAAAGGAATTAAAATATAATGTGTATTTTCCAAAAAATGTTTTGAAGTACCTTTATATATGGATGGAGAATAAGCTATTAAAAAGATAGCAGCAGTAGCTGTAAGAGAAGTGCAAATTATAACCACAATAAGACAGACACCTACTGGAATTGCTTAAAACAAAACTAACCTGCCAATACCAAGTGCTTACAAGCACATGGAGGACCTAGAACTCTCAACATGCTTGTTGCTGAAAATGTAAAATAGTACAGCCACTTTAGAAAATAGGTTGGCAGTTTCTTATAAAGCTAAACATATACTCACCATGTGACCCAGTATTGCCCCTCCTGGATAGTTGTCCAAGTGATATGAAAACTTTATGAATATTTCCAGCAACTTTGTTCCTAACTGCCTAAAACCAGAAACAATACAAATGTCCTTCAAATGGTTAATGGGGAAACAAACTGGTTTGTCAATTCAATGAAATCCTCTTCATCAAGGAAAAGAAACAAACTACTAATACATGAAACATGGCTCAATCTTAAAGGTAGGTATATGAAAGAAGCCAATCACAAAGGCTACATGCTTTATGATTCCATTTATGTGACTTCCCTAAATGCCCTTCTAGAAAAGGCAAATCTAGAAGAGAATATCAAACAGTTCATGGGAAATGCATATTGTGGGGAAAAAAGGCGTGGATTTCAAGAAATGTTTGCACCAAAATAAACACATTGTAATTTCATTTTTTGCCAAATTTTTAAAAATCATCCTTGGATATGCACAGAAAATAGATAAACTGTAGCTAATGACTCTGGGTGGGGGGGGGAGTATTCCAAAGTGGCAGGATGGAATGTTATGCATGATGGGGGTTTTATAACTTCATTGCAGTGGTGTTTGTACAACTCATAGAAGTATACACTGAAAAGGATGAATTTTACTCTGTGCACGATATACTTAATTTTCTTTCTTTCTTTTTTTTTTTTACAGGCAGGGTGGACAGTGAGAGAGAGACAGAGAGAAAGGTCTTTCTTTGCCGTTGGTTCACCCTCCAATGGCCGCTGCACTGATCCGATGACAGGAGCCAGGTACTTCTCCTGGTCTCCCATGGGGTGCAGGGCCCAAGCACTTGGGCCATCCTCCACTGCACTCCCTGGCCACAGCAGAGAGCTGGCCGGGAAGAGGGGCAACCGGGACAGAATCCGGCGTCCCGACTGGGACTAGAACCCGGTGTGCCGGCGCCGCAAGGCGGAGGATTAGCCTAGTGAGCCGCGGCGCCGGCCCTATACTTAATTTTCAAAAGTTCATTATCTCAGGAAGCTGTCATTTAGTGCTGAGAGGACTTTACTTAAACTGCATTATTCAAGAACATAATATATTGTCACTAACTATAGTGAATTTCCTTTAAAGTAGATCTCTATGTTGTACACAATAAACTTAGACAATGTTGTTACTGATGTAAATTTTTAAAAATCGTTTTTAAATTTATTTTAAAGGAGAGTTTCATAGAAGCAGAGGCAGAGAGAGAGGTCTTTCATCTTCTGGTTCACTCCCCAATTGGCCACAACGGCTTGAGCTAAGGGGATCCGAAGCCAGGAACCAAGAGCTTCTTCCAGGGCGGCTTCGGATGGGCACAGCTGCAGCTGTTGTAGCTGGTTGGGGAGTGAACCAGCGGATGCAAGACCTCTCTCTCTCTCTCTCTCTCTCTCTGCCACTCCGTCTCTGTGTAGCTCTTTCAAATAAATAAATAAATCTTTAAAAAAACAACTCTAAAATATGGACTTTTTAATTGTTTTAACTTTTCCTTTTTTTTTTTTTTTTAAAAAAAGATGTATATATTTGTAAGTCAGAATTACACAGGAAGGAAGAGAGAGACTCAGTCCGCTGGTTCGTTCACCACCCGAATAGCCACAACGGACAGGGCTGGGCCAGACTGAAGCTAGGAACCTGGAGCTCCTTCCAGGTCTCCAACGCGGGTGCAGGGGCCCGAGCACGTGGGCGCGCCCCCAGTGCATCCCAGGCCATAGCAGCGAGCTGGTTCGGAAGAGGACCAGGAGCCACCGGACCCGGCATCCAGGAGCCACCGGACCCGGCATCAACGTGGGATGCCTCTGCTACCAGCAGCGGCTTTACCTGCTACGCCACAGCGCCGGCCCCGCTACAGATTACTTTAATAGTCGTCTGTAAGGCAGAAATTGTAACACTTGTCCTGACTCTTGGCTATAAATGTGGTCTCATCACCGTGCCTGAGCCCGAGGAGATGTTTTTAAGCACGTGTCCAAAAAGACTGGCGTACTTCGGGGCCGCAGTCACCGGGGAAGGCCATCCCGTCCACGATCTGAGAGTCAAGCGCCCGGTTCCCCACCCACCAGCAGCACGGTAGCTCCACCTCCGGGGAGCCCCTGCACACTTACTGCCACCAGCCGGGACGCGCGTGCTGACCCCCGTCAGAGGCAAATCGCACTTGCAGAAGAGCGTCACGTCTCTCCTATCCCGAGCTGCAACCCGGCGACAGACTACGATGCACCACTCGAGGTTTGAAAATCTATGAAGGGCACGGGGCAGTCGAGGCGAGGGGCTATGCGGGAGACGCCCCGCGAGGCGTCCAGCTCTCCGGGCACCTCCGGCGGGAGGCAGGGCGGCGGGACTCGGAGAAGCATGGCAGTGCTTGGGCCGTGCCGATTCAGGGGCGCTGAGCTGCCGCCAGATGCCGGGGCAGCCCGCCCCGACGACAAGGGCGTCCCCAGACAGAACGACTCGGAGAAGCATGGCAATGCTTGGGCCGTGCCGATTCAGGGGCGCTGAGCGCCGCCAGATGCCGGGGCAGCCCGCCCCGACGACAAGGGCGTCCCCAGACAGAACGGCTCTGCACAAAGTCCCAGCGAGAGAGAGGGAAGCGTCCCACACGTCCTCGGCAGCGTGCTCTCACAAAACGGGCACACAGCAGACCGCGCCCCGACCCACAGTCTCGTCGGTGAGCGGTGCCAGTCAGACCCAGAAGAGCCGGGGAAGCTGCTGCAGCCCACCCGCCAGCCACGGCCGCGCCCTAGCGGAAGTGTGCGTGCCCGAGCGGAAGTTCAGCTGGCGAGCCCGGGCCACCAAGGCCACGACGGCGGGCGGCCAACGCCCAGGAGCCACGTGCGCGTGCGCACAAACGGGCTTGGCAGCGCCGAGGGCTCCCACCCGCGGGCGTCCACGTGAGCCCAGACGGCGGCCACCACAGGTACAGGCTTCAGAGAGGCCCGAGATTGTCTTGTCGGGCGGTGCTCCTCGGGGGTGGGGTCTCGGCGCCCATTCCGAATGGAGGCCGTCGGCCCGTGCCGCGTCGCCTCCTGAGGGGAGACCTCACAGGACGACACACACACACACACACACGCACACGCACACGACGTTGCGCCCGCCTCTCCAGCGCCACGTGCCTTTTCTCTTCCTTCAGGGCCTTCGTCTCTTAGCACCATGCAGCACGCCCTAGAGCACGCCTTAGATTCCGCCGAGGCGGTCATCCAGAGAGCCCAGCGGAGACCGCCCAAGAGGAGAAGGTCAGCCAGCGGGGACAGATGTCTGCATCAAAAGCTTTATGACCTTTACGTGAAGGAGTGCGAGCGAGAGCCCGAGTTCGCGGAGCTGAGAAGCAGTGTCCACCTGCTAGACAAGCTCGTCCGGAAGGAGTCCTTGTCACGCTTAGTGGTCAGCCTGTACCCCGGAAGTGAGGGCTACTCTCTGATGCTCAGGGACGCCGAGACATGCTCCCCAGAAAGCATCCGGCTGCCTTACGACCAGCGGGAGTTCCTGGAGTACCTGGATGCCGAAGAGCTGCCTCCCGTTCTGGTCGACAGCCTGGAGAGAGCGCGGGCTGACGTCTTTCACCGTGGCTGCGTCGTGGCGGAGATCCGCGACTACAGGCAGTGCGGCGAGCCGGGGCCTCCCGGTTTCCGCAGTAAGCACATTCTGCTCCGCCCCACCATGCAGACTTTACTCTGTGACGTGCAGTCCATCACCAGCGGCCGCGAGGAGTGGACCCAGGAAGACAAGCTCGCCCTGGAGAGCCAGCTGATCCTAGCGACCGCAGAACCCCTGTGTCTGGACCCCTCCGTGGCGGTGGCCTGCGCTGCCAACCGCCTGCTGTACAACAGGCAGAAGATGAACACCAACCCCATGAGGCGGTACTTCCGGAGGTATTCTGTGTCCTCGCTGGCTCAGCAGCAGCAGCTGGCCCCCCGTCCTCGCGCCCCTGAGCCCAGCGCCTCGCCTGGGTCCGGAGCCCGGAAGGCCGGGGCAGCAGCTGCCCATTCCCCCGACCTGCTTCCTCCGCAAGCAGAAGGTGACCTGGACGCGTGGAAACAGGCACCCGGCGACTTGGCTGTGCCTTCGGACGTGGACGTGCAGAAATGCGCTAGGGGGGAAGGGTCCTCCAGCACCGCGGCCTCCCCACGCACCATCTGGCCAGCTCCGGAGGAAGATGACTGGGGGCTCGCAGGGGAAGCCGGCCACGGGTCCTGGGACACGAAGCTGAGCGGCATGCAGTCGCTTAAGGATCCCATGTTCTGCGACACAGCCCCACAGTGTAAGGAGCCCCGCGCGGAGACGGGCTGCGTCCTCCCCTCCTCCGCAAAGAGCCGCGTGCCCAGGGTGTCCGGCATGGGTGTAAGGTGGATGCCCCGGGGAGGGGGGGGTCGGTCAGCAGCGGGCCCCGGGCCGCAGGAGAGCCTCCTGTGCAGGCCGGCGGCCCGTTGCCCCAGTGGCTCGGCGGCTGTCTCCTCAGCCTGTTCTGGGAAGCCACTAGAAGAGGGCGTGGCTGGCTGTGCGGGGCGGGGCCCCACGCGGGGACAGGGAGAGAAACGTGGGGCTGGCCGGGCCTGTCCTCCCGCCAGCCAGCTCGGGAGAGCGAGGCTCCGGCTGGCTGCAGGGGTGCTGCCCGAGGGGCAGGCAGCCTGCTCATGTCAGCTCCCCTGCTCCTTTCCCGCACCCGCCCCGCTCCAGCGCTTCCTCTGGCTCCCGCTTCTCCCCCTGCTCCCCGGCTTTCCCGGATCCTCTCCCTGAGCCCCTCTGGA